AAAGATTTGTGGTATATATATATATATATATATATGTACGTGTGTATATATATATATACATATATATACGTATATATGTATGTATATATATGTACGTGTATATATATATATGTATACACACACACACAATGGAGTATTACTCAGCAATCAAAAAGAATGAAATCTTGCCATTTGCAACTATGTGAATGGAACTAGAGGATATCATGCTAAGCAAAATTAGAGAAAGACAAATATATGACTTCACTCATATGAGGACTTAAGATATAAAACATAAGGGAACATAAGGGAAGAGAAGCAAAAATAATATAAAAACAGGGAGGAGGACAAAACATAAGAGACTCTTAAATATGGAGAACAGAGGGTTGCTGGAGGAGTGGGGGGGGGATGGGCTAAATGGGTGAGGGGCATTAAGGAATCTGCTCTTGAAATCATTGTGGCACCAAATGCTAACTAACTTGGATGTAAATTTTTAAAAAGTAATAAAAAGTAAAGCTCATTCTACACACAAACACACACACACACACACACACACACACAAGCTAGTTTTAAAAGCGGTGAGAGAGAATGAGAATGATTAAGAAGTATTACGGTAGTTTGGGCTTTTAACAAATCAGCGATAATATCTGCTCATCTTAGAAGTGTATGAAGAAAACCACTAGTAGAACAAACAGAATGTGTCATCTTCAAACCAGTGAACGGATGTATCTGCTAAGGTTCTTAGTTGCAAACGACAGCAAACGACTCTGACCGACTCAAGAAGAAAAGGAATTTATTGAAAAGTGCCCAGTAGCTCACAACATCAGCAGGAAGGTCAGAACACCTGGCAGAGAAAAAGGGCAGAAATTAAGGAGCCTGGGTGGCGGAAGCTCCAGGAACCAGCCCAGATGGGATGCTGCTGTTGGCACTGTGGGCCTGGACACCTGTCATCTGGGCCCCTATTGTCACGGGTCTTAGGACCCTCTGCTCCAGATGGGAGTCCCGTGTCAGATCAGCCACGGGACTGAGGGTTGCCTGAGGGCAAGTCATGGGCCACTTGGTGACGTCAGAGGTAGAGAGTGTCCGGAACCTTCCAGCTTCTGTAGCAGGAGCCTGGGTTTGGTCTCTGAAGAGAGTCACTCCCTGTCCTGAGGGACTCCTGGCCCCCACACACACCAGGAGTGGAATACACATGCCAGGAAGCCCCCAAAAAGCAGCTCCTCTCTATAAGGAAATCCTGGGACAAAGAAAACTTGGTGGATCCATTAGAAGGGAACATGGGGAAGGGAGGAAGACTCTGAGAAGTGTACAAAGTGAGGGGCGCCTGTGTGGCTCAGTTGGTTGGGTGTCCGACTTTGGCTCAGGTCACCTGGAATTCAGCCTGAGGTAGGGCTTGAACTCACAAAACATGAGATCATAACCTGAGCCAAAATCAAGAGTTGAACACTTAACTGACTGAGCCACCCTGTCCTTTACATTTTCTGAATAGATACTTAAAAGAAGAAAGAGTGGGGGGCGCCTGGGTGGCTCAGTAGGTTAAGCATCTGACTTTGGCTCAGGTCTTGCTCTCATGGGTTTGAGCCCCACGTCGGGCTCTGTGCTGAGAGCTAGCTCAGAGCCTGGAGCCTGTGTCAGATTCTGTGTCTCCCTCTCTCTCTGACCCTCCCCTGCTCATACTCTCTCTCTCTCTCTCTTTCTCTCTCTCTCTCTCTCAAAATAAATAATTTTTTAAAAACATTAAAAAAATAAAAGAAGGAAGAGTGGGAAAATGTGGCTTTGTTTGTTGAGACTAATCTTGGGACTGTGAATCCCCAGAGAAAAACTTTTCTTCTGAGAGGGATGATTCTAGCATGTTCACCTTGGCCCTTAGAGATACTGGCAGAGAAGGCTGTGTGTGACCTGCCGGAGAAGGACTGTGGGATGTAGGACACGTCCGAGGGGAGGTGAAGACGGGAGGAAGCTGAGGGACTGGAGGAAAGCGGAGCAGTCGAGAACGAGGAAGGCTAGATGAGGCAGAAGAATAAATCTGTCCTAGTGGAAGAGCAGGAAGGAGGCTGTCATGGTCAAGAGTTCCCCCTTCCAGAAATGGAAAAACTCCTGGAGGTCCTGGGAGTGAGGAGGTCACCGAGGAACCAAGAGGCGGGGTGGAAGAGAGGTCTCCAGAGCTGACGGAAAGATCAGGAACTGAAACAAGGGCAGCAGTGGGACTTCCATGTGGACTTCGATGCCACCCAGGATAGTGGCAAGAGTGGAACAGATGGAGGGGAACCTGGGGGGCTCAGTCAGTTAAGCATCCGACTTCGGCTCAGGTCATGATCTGAAGGTTTGTGAGTTCGAGCCCCACATCAGGCTCTCTGCTGTCAGCACACAGCCCGCTTCAGATCCTCTGTCCCCCTCTTTCTCTGGCCCTCCCCATCACGCGTGTACACTCTGTCTCTCTCTCCTTTAAAAAAGGAGTGGAATAGACAGGAAGTAGAGAGAGCCCCAGGTCTTCAACACAGAGGAGGAGGGATGTGGGTGACCGTAGCTGGGAGGGGAGGTGGCCCGAGCCCCAAGAGGCACCGGACACTTAAGAAGAGTTGGGGACCCTGGCCTGGGAGTAGCAGGGGGCGCTGGGGGGAACGCTGCCCCACCCTGACCAGTGCAGAAGGGCCTGCTGCGGGGACTCCGCCCCAGAGGGACTGAGATCCTGAGGCCTTTCCACCTCGGTCCCTTTTGCTTCAGGGCGGAGCCCAGAGTCGGTTTGTTCCACTTTCCATGGTAACTGGTGACCTGTGACAAATGGGACCCAGCCAATGACATGCTGGGGGAGACACTTGAGAGACCGGCGTTGAGTTCACGCTGCGGGGAGCCATGCCTTCTGGTAAGTCGCGCCCCCACCTTCCCCAGTCAGCCCAGCGCTGCTCTGAGGCAGCCCTCTCAGAACCGCACGCTGGCCCAAGCTCCTCGGGACCAGAGGTCATCTCCGACAGTCGCTTAAGAAAGGCCGCTGGGAGCCCACGGTTAGTCTTTGGGAACAACTACAGGCTCCGGCCTGGAGTCCGGGGTCTGGCTGCTCCCCCCTCGCCAGCCCAGGGCCCTGGGAGCTCACTTCAGGGGTGACTTTCTGCTCTGCTTCTTTTCACAGGCCCCTGTCTTTCTCTCTGAAAGCCCCCGTCTGTCTTCCATAGGGGGTTACCTCCCTTTCTCCCTCCCTCCCTCTCCCTCCCTCCCTTCCTTTTCTGAGAATGTGAGCAGAGGAAGGGCAGAGGGAGAGGGAGAGAGAATCCCAAGCAGGCTCCCAGCGTTGAGCCTAACGCACGGCTCAATCTCATGACCTGAGCCAAAATCAAGAGTCAGATTTTTTTTTTAATATTTTTATTTATTTCTAGGAAAGAGAGACAGCATGGAGAGGGGAAGGTCAGGGAGAGAGGGAGACACAGACTCAGAAATAGGCTCCAGGCTCTGAGCTGGCAGTCAGCACAGAGCCCGACGCGGGGCTCTAACCCACGAACTGTGAGATCATGACCTAAGCGAAAGTCGGACGCTTAACCGACTAAGCCACCCAGGCGCCCCCAAGAGTCAGATATTTAACCGACTGAGCCACTCAGGTGCCCCTAGCCTTAATCCTGCCTTTAAAAAAAATTGTAAAATACACATAACATAAAACTTACCATCTTAACCACTTAAGTGTACTGTTCAGTATTAAGCAGAGTCACACTGCTGGGCAGCCATTCTCCAGAATGTTTTCATCTTGCAAAACTGAAACTCTGTACCCATTAAACAACTCCCGCTCCCCCCTCCCGCCAGCCCCACCGGCAAAGATGGTATTTAATCATTTATTTATTTATTTTAATATGTTTTATATATTTCTAGGAGACAGAGAGAGAGACAGCGTGAGCAGGGGAGGGTCAGAGAGAGAGGGGGTCACAGACTGAAACAGGCTCCAGGCTCCGAGCTGGCAGTCAGCACAGAGCCCGACGCGGGGCTCGAACCCACGAACCGCGAGATCATGACCTAAGCGAAAGTCGGACGCTTAACCAACTAAGCCACCCAGGCACCCCGGTATTTAATCATTTAAAATGCACTCACTTTTGCTTATGCGTACTTTCTAATCTTTCTACAAAGAGCATTCGAAATGTTTATAATTGAATTTCAAAACTCCAGAACATTACGCACAACCCTGTACAATCTCTCCACGTCACAGGGAGAACCTGGATGAGAGACCTGTGTCACGCTGCCTTCTTCACTCTGGGTACCCGCAGCACCCACCAGGGAGGCTGGGGTCCTCCCACAGCCGTCTTCTCTCAGGCAGGGAACGGGGTCCACAGACGTGTGGCAGGTCAAGTTCCAGCAACGGAGCAGGTCCTGACCGAGCCTGGCGCCGGCCCGCACGCGTTTGGGATGGGGCTCCGTTTCAGGACTTACGCACTTGTCCCTGGCTCTCCTCTCACCTCACCCGGCCCCCAGCAAAGGTGTCCTCACAGTCACTCCTTGTCCTTGGTTGGCCCATGTCTCTCACCTCTGGAATCCTCTGGTCCGCCAGGCCCGGGGTTCTGCCCCTCAGGCCCCCCAACCGGCCCATGTGGAGGCAAGGCCTGAGGCAGGCAGGGGGCCTCCCCCACACGCTGGCCCTCAGTTGGCGTCCACAAAGAACGTGCCCAGAGTGGCTCTCTGTGCAGGGGGTGGGGGCACATGGAGGTCAGAGAGGGAGTAGGAGTTGGGGGGTGGTGACGAAGTAGAGTCGTTTCTGCCTGGTCGATCTTGGGTTTTCCATCGCTTTTGTTACAAGCAGTGACTTACGCGCATGCACAGAAAACCACTGGCAAAGCACCCAAGTGTGACCCTATAGAATGTCAGGGTCCCTTTCATTTTTTTTTAAAACAATTTTAATGCTTTTATTTCTGAGAGAGAGAGAGAGACAGCATGAGCAGGGGAGGGTCAGAGACAGAGGGAGACACAGAATCCGAAACAGGCTCCAGGCTCTGAGCTGGCAGTCAGCACAGAGCCCGATGTGGGGCTCGAACCCACAAGCGGTGAGATCATGACCTGAGCCGAAGTTGAACGCTTAACTGACTGAGGCACCCAGGCGCCCCAGGGCCCCTTTCATTTTGCGAACAAGGGACCAAGGCCTGGAGAGGTGATGCCACACTGCAAGGTGGTGGCAGCAGGGCTGAGATTGGCACCAGGACCCCCGGATCCCTGACACCCCCGCCACCCAGGACTACACCAGGTGGAGATCCAGACCAGAAGGGGCTGACAGGGGGGCCACGGAGGGCCAGGATGGTGGGGGCCCCAGGTACAGGCCAAGAACCAGAGAGGGCCACACCGGGCGAGGACCTGCAGAACCTCAACAAGAAATGGGAAGGAAAGGTGGGACCCCATGATAAAATTTCAGAAAATGGGGGTGGGGATTGGGTTGGGGGAGAGCCCAGATGGAGGCTTCCTCTGCCCGTTAACCAGCTGCCATGTTTTGTAGAAGAAAGACTTTGCCTGTGGGCCTGGGGCTCTGGAGGGCAGATAACGACCTTACATCGCTTCCAAACCTTGGGTGAGGGTAGGAATCACTGAGGTGTCAGTCAGAGTTTATAGGCTGAAGTGGGGATGGGGCACAAAGGGGGACAGGCCATGAAGACACCCCAGCAGAGGAGGGTGAGTGTGGCTTCCCAAAACTGCGTGTGGTGCTCTGGTCTCTCTGGTGGAAGCTGCTTCAAGGCTCTACTCAGAAGGGGTCCATCTCTTGCTGCCCCTCTTGGCCACCATTCTCAGTCAGAGGGTGGGCCCTGATGCCTGGGGAGCCCAGGTCATACAGGGTGCTGCCCATGGTCACCCTGCTGAGGCTGTGGGAGCTATGGCGGGGTCTGTGGTAGTGGCACTGAGCCCCCAAGCACAGGGCTTCCTGGAAAGTCTCCCTGAAGCGGCTCGACATGAGGTTGTAGAGCACAGGGTTAATGGCCGAGCTGAGGTAGAAGAAGACGCCGGAGATAACATGCACGTACTGGAAGGCCAGGTACACGTCCTCGGTCCAGCTGGACACAAAGCTCCACATGAGGCGATCAACGTGGAAAGGGGCCCAGCAGATTCCAAACACCACGACCAGCACAACTGCGGGGGCACAGAGGAGAGATTTGGTGCTTACCAGAGCCCTCTCGACTGCCTTTCCTGGGCTTCACTGTAGGCTGCCCACTCTCACCTCACCACCCCCGCCCATTGTCCAGATGGAAGTTTCTAGAAGTTTGCCTGCCCTGGCCTTGTCACCGCTTTCAGAGAGGCTGGTCCCACCACTGTCACTGACTGGGCAGTGGGCATGTGCTCTCCCCCCGTCCCCCAACCAGCCACAGTCAACTGGGCCAGGTGTGGATGCCTGAGCCAAACTGGCCCAGTCAGGCTCTTCCACCACAGAGTTTGGAACTAGGTGACTGACTAAGAGTTCACCCAGCTTCCCAGAGCTTCCCTCCAGCTCTGGTGTTAACCAGCCATGCCCTTACTTGGGTCTCTGTCATGGGCTTGCCTCGATTTCTCTTTATTCTTTGTGTTTGCTTCTCTGACTCCCTATCTTTCCCCTGAGTGCCTTTCCCACCACACCCCGGCACGGTTTTCCCTCCTAATCCAGGATTTCCATCAGGATGCTGCTTACAACATCCCCACCAGGCCCTCAGAAAGTGAAGGTGGGGGAAGGAGGGGAGAGGCGGGAAGAGGAGAAGGCCAGAGCCCCAGTCCAGCAAGCAAGGTAAGCTTAAGGAAACTCCCCAGCTTCCCAGGGGGAGAGCCATCCCAGCTGAGCAGACTTGGCCCCCTTGGGGCAAGGGAGCAGAAAGCAGAGGCAGAATGGGCAGGAAGCAGGGGGTCACAGAGCTGAGGGGCAAGCTTGGAACTCTGGGCTCAGCCCCATTTCAGGGAGCAGCACAAGTGGCCTTGGGCTCTGGGACACTGTTTCTGGAGGACACAGGAGTGGGTCTCTCGCTGGGAATGGGGCAGCCCCCTATATAAGCCCGTGGCTTTGACCAAGGTCTCACTAGCTCTGTCTTGCCCTGGCTCACTCCACCTCCCTGATTCAGGCCCTGCTAGGGTAGGGCAGGATGGGGACGAAATCAGTGATTGGCTTAGTATCATTTTGTCTGGCTTCCCCAGGGCCACTGTTTCTGAAAAAGCACCAGATCTAGATGACAGTAACATCCAGAGCCGCAACCCAGCTGGGCTTGCCACGACCTGCCCCAATCCACACTTCTGCCCTGATTCTCCTGTGCACTGCACGTTGCCCTTCACAAACACACCTCCTGATGAGCCTCCTTTAGACAGCAGTGGTCGTTCCTGTGGTCTCCTAGGAACCACAGATATAGCATGGAGGGAATGTGTCATCTTACCCCTCCAACACCTTGCTCCTCTACTTTGGGGAACTTTGCTTCCCCGCAGATCCCACCATGTGAGTCCATGGGGACTGCAAACCTCAGAATCCTGCCACTCTGGCCTGGGGGCGGGCTATGACCTAAACCCACCAATCAGAATCCTTCCCTGGGATTTTTCAACAGCCACTAAGGGAAGTAGGCAGTTCCTTAAGAAAGGAGAACTCTGGGGCTCCGGGGTGGCTCAGTTGGTTGAGCCTCCGACTTCGGCTCAGGTCATGATCTCACGGTTTGTGGGTTCGAGCCCCGCGTCGGGCTCTGTGCTGACTGCCAGCTCAGAGCCTGGAGCCTGTTTCAGATTCTGTGTCTCCCTCTCTCTCTGACCCTCCCCTGCTCACGCTGTCTCTCTCTCTCAGAAATAAATAAAACATTTTTAAAAAATTTTTTTAAAAGAGAGGAGAACTCTGTGCCCATGGCCATGTCTCCAAGCTGCTCTAGGGAAGGACAAATGAGCAAAGATGAAAGACCTGGAGACGCAGCTCCCACAGACAGCTCCACCATCCTGGAACCCAGCCACATGCCCTGCCCTATCTGTGGATTGGTTCCCTGAGCCAGTGTGCCACCTACACATCTGGACGGGCCTCCATGCTTAGAAGGACCCTAGGCTGAGTGGCTTAGTTTCAGCTCAACTATTGCTGTCTGGACAGTTGTGTTTTTTTTAATGTTTATTTATTTTGAAAGAGAGAGAGTTAGAGCACGAGTGGCGGGGGCAGTGAGAAGAGGAGAGAGGAGAGAGAGAATCCCGAGCAGGCTCTGTGCTGAAGGTGTGGCCATGGGCCACAATGCGGGCCCATGAACCGTGATATCATGACCTGAGCAGAGCTCAAGAGTAGGACGCCTAACCGACTGAGCCGCCCAGGTGCCCCGCGATCTGGACAGTCTTAGTGATTTTTGAACAAGGGACCCTGAATTTTCATTTCACAAGGGACCCCACAAATTATGTGGCCCATCCTGCCATTTATCTTCGGTGTGAGTTTGTTACAGAGTAATCGCACAGGTGCATGCACACACACAGGACAGGGTGGGGGTCAGTGGTGACGACTCCAAACTCCACACTCAGCCTCCACCTTAAACCCAGACACTCAGCCCCCAGGTCCTGGAAGCACTAGCCCCTTACCCGGGGCCTGGCTCCATCCCTCTTCCCCGTAGCAACACTTACACAGCATCTTGGTCACCTGTGTCCGGCCCCGATCCTGTGGCCGCTGAAACCTGTGGCTGTCGCTGGACTTGGCCCTGCCCCTGGCCTCCTGCCTGAGCAGCAGCAACCTCTCACGCTGCAGCCGAAGCCCGATGAGCAGATAGAGCACGCTGATGGTGGCCATGGGCAAACAGAAGAAGAGCAGAGTGGTGATCTGCACTACCAGGTTGTAGAGGGCCCGTGAGCGGACCAAGGTGCACACAGCTGAGTGGGGCACCGTGCCCCGGCAGGGCACCTCCAGATGCTTGATGCCGTGGAGGCTGGCGTTAGGCAGGGAACAGAGCACGGCGAGGCCCCAGATGGCTCCAAGTACACGGCGCACGTGGACCCGAGTCATCGTGGATCTGGCCTGCAGCGGGTGCACCACGGCCACATAGCGCTCCACACTCAGGGCCGTGACATTGAGCACCGAGGCCAGGCAGACCGTCTCGAAGAGCAGCGTGCGGAAGTAGCAGCCACCCGCGCCCAGCAGGAAGGGGTAGTTGCGCCACATCTCGTAGAGCTCCAGGGGCAGGCCCACGAGCAGCACCAGCAGGTCTGACACAGCCAGGCTGAGGAGGTAGTAGTTGGTGGGTGTGCGCATGGCCTTGTGGCGCAGGATGACGGTGCAGGTCAGCCCGTTGCCCACGGCGCCCACCACGAAGATCAGCAGGTACATGGCACAGATGGGCACAAACAGCTCCGTCTGCTGGGGCCCCCAGTACTTGAGTCTCAGTTCCTCATCAGTCAAGTTCAAGTCCTCAGGGCCAAAGACCCCCCAGGTCCTACTGCCATTGCAGGGCACCAGGCTCCCTGCATCTGTCGGGGACATGTCTCCAGGGAGGATGGAGCAGTTGAAGCAGAGAGGAGTCTGTGGGACAGAAGAGAGAGACTCCCAGAAAAGTCACTCAAAGATCCCTGGTAATCCACTAACCCAAAGGTGCCAGCGACACTAAGAGGAACATTATTTTATATACCACTGAGAAACAAAAAAATGTCATCCGTTGTAAGGTGTATAACAGTTTCAGAGATGTAAAAATGGACACCTTGGAAATGATAAAAGCAGAACTCAGTCGGGGCGCCTGGGTGGCTCAGCTGCTTAAGCGTCCGACTTCAACTGAGGTCAGGATCTCTGTGGGTTCGAGCCCCGCATGGGGCTCTGTGCTGACAGCTCAGAGCCTGGAGCCTGCTTCGGATTCTGTGTCTCCCTCTCTCTTGGCCCCTCCCCCACTCACACTCTGTCTCTCAAAAATGAATAAATGTTAAATATTTTTTAATTTTTTAATGTTTTATTTATTTTTGAGAGAGATAAGAGACAGTGTGAGCAGGGGAGGGTCAGAGAGAGAGGGAGACACAGAATCCGAAGCAGGCTCCAGGCTCTGAGCTGTCAGCACAGAGCCTGACGCGGGGCTCAAACTCACAAACTGTGAGATCATGACCTGAGTTGAAGTCAGATGCCCAACCAACTGAGCCACCCAGGCGCTCTGAGCTGCTTATAGCTCAGAGCCTGGAGCCTCCTTCAGATTCTTTGTCTCTCCTTCTCTCTGCTCCTCCAATGCTTATGCTCTGTCTCTCTTTGTCTCTCAATAATAAATAAAAATGTTTAAAATAAAAATAAATAAAAATTTGTTTTAAAAAGCAGGACTCAGTTATAAATTTCACAATCCACCGAAGCTTTAAATAAACAATGGACCGTCTGGAGCATGGGCTTTGCGGTCAGCAGTCTCCCCTTGGGTCTGTCCTCTTTCAAGTCCTGGACTCTGGGAGAAGGACTCAGTATGGGCATCTGTAAAAGGGGCACTGCATGCAGCATCTTATCAGTACGGATTTTAAGAACAAGGGCTCTGGAAGCAACTTGGATTCAAATCCAGCCCCTTCAGTTCTGGGCTGTATGACCATTTGTAGGGGAACCTCTCTGTTTCCTTACTACAAGGATCCAGGGAGTTTAATCTACAACAGATATTAACGCGGGGCCTGCTTGACCCACAGAAGGGCCTGGTTATCAGCCATCTCTCAGGGAGGACTGAGTCACTGTGGGAATCAAGTGAGGGGGGCAAAGGGCTAAACACTAGAATGCTAACCCCAAAGTTGGTTCTTGTTTCTGTTTCCTATCACCTGCACTGCTAAAAGTTGAAATATTTGACAACGTTGACAAAGTCACGCCAGTTTAGGGGCCCCCTCGCCTCTGTTGGGTCCCTATGGCTGCCAGGCCACAGGATATAGTGGTTAAGGACCCAGACCACAGAGCTAAACACCCTGGCTTGGGGTCAAATGCCAGCTCGGCTACACTCTAGCCTCTGCAAGACCTCTCCTCACTGTGCCTCAGTCTCCTCATCTGTAAAACGGGGGTGTCCACAAAGCTTACCTCACAATTTCTGTGAAGATTAAAAGAGGGAACACATATAAAGTTCTAAGGAGTGTGCCTGGTACCTTCTAGGTGCTCAGTATCAACGCATAGGAACACTTACCCTTACTTCCCACATGGAAAAGGGAAAATCGGTGCAAGGGAGGGGCACTTGGCTGGCTCAGTAGGTAGAGCCTGCAGGGCTGTGAGTTTGAGCCCCGCGTCGAGTGTGGGGATTACTTGAACATAAAATCTTAAAAAGAAAATAAATTTTAAAAAGGACAGTCCAAGGGAGATGCGGCGGGGGCCGAAATAGGATGTGGCTGGACAGCTGGGGTGGTGGCACAGGCCAGGCGCCAGCGACTGTCCTCTGAGCGTCCCCGCCACCCCTCTCCTCAGAGCCACCTCGGATATTCAGGCTCCGTGCCTGGACCCTCTCCCCATTGCTTCAGCTCCATTTCCTCTTCTGAACGGGCGCTTGGGGCATTCCCGTTGCCCGTGTGCCTGCGCGGCCACATTCAACTTTCCTTCTAGGTCCTTTTCTGTCCCAGGAATGCTTAATCCGGAATATCTTCCTCCTCACCAGAACCTCCACCCAGAAGTCTCCCAGCCTGCCTGCCAGCCCCCCACCGGCTCCGCGCAATCTGGGATGGGCGCATTTTCACCCACCCGGGCGGTTCACCTGCCCGCCTCCAGGGCTGGGCCGGGGGCCGCGGGGAGGCGCTGGGGACGCGCCCGCCGCCGACCAGGGTGCGAGGGAGAGTCTGCGCCACCGGGAACGGCCGCGGCGCCCGCCCGGGCCGGCAAAGAGACAGAAGTAACCCGGAGGCTGCGAGTCCTCCGAGAAGGGGGGCGCCTCGGCGGGTCCCTCCGATCCCCGCCGCCCTGGGGAGACCCTCTGTGCGCGCTTGCTAGTCCCGCGCCCCAGCCCCGTCCGGCGGCCGCGCCCTCGGCCTCGACGGTATCGCGTTCACCTACCATCCCGTAAGCAGCTGGAGACATCGAGGCGCACGGCGGGCGGCGGAGACCGACGGGCAGACGCGCGCCAGGAGCCAGCAGACTGGCGGCGGGACGGCGGCCGGCTCGCGAGTGGCCCGCCCAGGAGCCCCGCCTGTAGTCGGGGTGATCCGGAAGGGACCGCCACCAGGGGGCGGTGCACCCCCCACCCGCCTCGCCGCAGCGCTGGACCCAGACACCCTCATCTGCGGGTCCCCACACCGACGCCTGGTTGTGTTTGGCGTGACTCTCCCGGGAGCACCATTATGGAACTCCCACGGAACCCTAAAGGAACCCTTACAACAACCCTTTTAAAAATGAGAAAACCGAGCCTCGGAGAGATGAAGCGCCAGCGGTCTGGGTCTCACACCCTGCCCGGGTCTCCAGAGTGCTGACTTTTAGCCCAGCTCCTTATTATGGGGTCTCTCCGGCCCCCGCCTCCTCCTGCCGCACATTTCAGAGGCACCTGAAAGTCCACGTGCCCCAACGGGTCTCCTCTCCCTCTCTGGGGGGAGGGGGGCCCCAAGTCCCAGGGCGACAGCCCCCACCCCCCTGCCTGGGGTTCCCAGCCCCTGAGCGCATCTCAGGACTGCTGCCTGCTGGGGGAGCCCCCGGCCTCCCTCCCTCCAGCCTGTGCTCCCACTGCCCAGGCTTCTTCCTGAGTCCCCAACACTTCACTCCTCTGCTGGAAAACGTTCCCAGCACCTCTCCCCCTCCCCCACTTTCTTCCGGAAAAAGAACAGACCAAAGTCTAGCTTGGTGTTGGACCTCCATGCCCCACTTGCCTTCCTGGTCCCCCTCTCACTATGTTCCTTTCCCCCAAATACCCTCCCTCTCATCCATTCAAATGTATCTCCTTCCCTCTCACCCCACCTCAGCCCTCCCCCCCTCCCCCGGGGAAAGGAGGGAACTGTAGGGAAGAGTCAGAGCCTGCTCCCCCAAGCCCGGAGCCCCTTCCCTGCTCTGTCCCCTCTTCCAAACAGCTCCTTAGCTGGAAGTTATTTCATCAGGAGCTTTCTAGATAGATGGATCTTACAGGCCCAAATGATGGCTCCTGGGCCTCTTCCCAGGGCCTGATTCATTTAGTCTGGGCAAGGTCCAACAACCTTCGTTTTCGACAAACACCCTCCAGGGAGCCCCAAGACCCAGAATCACACTTTGAGAAGCACTGGGAGGGGTTAAATACCCAGGACCCAGAAGGGCTGCTGTGAGCAGAGTGAATGGGGAAGAGGTCAGCCTCTCTGTGCCTTGATTCTCCTTCCCGTGGAATGTGTAACCATGCGTGCCTTGAAACATCAGTGCGAAGATTTAGCACAGGGCTGGCGTGCAGCCAGCACTCAAAAACATCTATGTAATGACAAGTGGAGGTGTGACCTTCTTGCTCCCAGACTTTCCCTGCCTCCCCTTCCCCCATGAGTCACTGTCTGGCCTTAGGGACTGGGAGTCAGACCCTCTCAGAGCCTCCACAAGCCCTGCCTTCCCAGGAACTCCACATGTAAACACAACCTCAGGCACAGGGAAGTTGTAGGCCAGTGCAGGGGCAGATGTCCCCGAGGAAAAGATTCTGGGGTATCCCTGAGAATTAACTACTCAACCCCAGATGCGTGACCCCATGCAGAACCTTCAAGGTCCGGGCTGCTATTGTATCAGAGGAGCAGTGAAGGGTAGGCAGCATCCCTGGGAAACAGCCCACCATGGGGTCACAGGCAGCACTTAGCATGTGATGAGCATTGTCGACCCCTGCCCCCATCACTGGACTCACACACACATGCTCACACGCACCACTTTGCACACGCTCCGAGCATCCTGAAACCTACTGTGGACCCCTTGGAGAAGCTCAAAGCCCAGGAAAGGAAAGGGAAGGACCTATTCCCACCTTACAGAGGCAGAATGGCTCCTGCCCAGAGGAATTCGTTACAGCTGGCAGCATCATTCACAGCATTAACTGCAATCAAAGACCATGGCAGGCTAAATAAAGGGGTAGCGCCCCCCCAAAAGGGGAGGCCCAGTGGCCACCCCTGCACTGTTCTGAGGGCCCTGGGTGTCCCAGCCTCAGGCCTGAGTTCAAGACCGCCATGGCAGCATGGCCCCATCAGAACTGACGGTCTGCCACTGCCTCCCTGGCCCCTCCTGAGGCAGCCTCTCCAGGGCCACGTTCACCGGGGATACCGCAGGGCTGAGGCCTGGAGTAAACGCATCCTAAATTTTATGTGAGGTATACCTCAGTCTCCTGAGCTGGGCTGGCGGCCATTTGCCCAGACCAGGGTGTTAAGGGCCCCACTCTGCACAATCACACTTGTGCTGAGGGAGTGCCTCTGGGTCTATGGGCAGCAGCCGGGAGACCTCCCAAGTCCTGCAGCCTGTGCAGGGCTCACGGGGCCTGAAGTACATAGTAGCCCATAGCCTGCCCTTACCCTGCTCAGAGCCACAGAAGGGTGGCTGCCCCAAGCCAAGTTTTCACCAGCACCACCTGAGCAGCTTCTAGAACATTCACCATTCACCTCCACCCCTCCCCCTGCTTTACTGCCTACAGAGACCAAACAAGGAAGATGAGGTGAGCTTGGGGACACCAAGGGACTGGATGGGAGGGAGGAAATGTTCTGAAGCCTAGGCAGTGGGGCGAGCCCAGGACCCACCAGTAATCAGGCTCAGCAACCATGGAGCGTTGGGTATAGTGAACATTTAGAGTGGGGACAGTGGCCACGCTTACCTAGGAACTTCTCCAGGTCAGACACCTCTCACCTGGCTCTGCTGGGCTGGACCCAGGCCAAGCCATGGCCAAGGGAGAGAGGAGGAAAGGTCTGAGCCCCTTCAGAGTGTGTGTGGAGAGTTCTCCAGTGCAGGGGCTAGGATTGAACGGCAGGGAGCCACGCAGCCTGGGTGTGGTCATCCGCCCTCCCCAAGTCCCCAGGCCTGGATCTGCTCACAGAAACCAGCACTCTTCCCAAGGAGGGAGAAGGCAAAGGAAGGCAAGGCAGAGTGAGGCCTGCATGAGAACCCTTGCTCGCCCTGCCACAAACTGGCTGTGTGGCCTTGGACAAGTCTCCGTGCACTCCAGACCCCAGCTTCCTGGTCTGCAAAACAGCAAGAACAGCACTTGCTTCTCTAGATGCTAAGTGAGATAACACGGCTTAAAACACCCAGGGGTGACACACCTAAGAGATGGTAACCATAACTATGCTTGGAATTCTCTCGAAGATACTAGAAAGCTGCCAGGAGTCAGGGCTGGGGTGGAAGCTAGAGGACAGAAGAGCTTGCTCAGCAGGGCTTAGAAGGGCAGGGTCCCCCACAGCCTGGGGCAGGGAAGCTATGCCCCAGTGAGAAGAAGGAAAAGACAGACGTGTGGGGAACCTGGCCACAGTGCAGGGGGCCCAGCCCAGCAGATGGACCTCGGGGGTCAGCGGCTGAGACCTCAAGTTATCGCCTCTGCCTCTCCCGCCCACGGAGAAGGCCACTTGGGACTAAGTGTCCGGCTCCTTGCCGTCTGAGGGTCACGCAGCCTGGTCCTCAACCATCCCGGTCTCTCCGGCAGGGTCTGGGCTGCAGAGTCAGTCCACTCGTGGCCAAAGGGAGGACAGACTCGGGTCGCACATCAAGAGGGCCAGAAAATGCCTGGGTCTCTTGTCCTGAGTCCGCGTGTCCTTGATCCCACCCCGGGGTGGGGCTAGTTGTTACCGGTGCTCCCAGTACCTGCTGGTCCACACAGCCTTCTCAGCTAACAAACCACAGAGAGGCCCCTCCCGGGATCTTCCGTTATGAATGCTCACGGTTAGCTCAGAACCAAAGCTCCTGACCTCCAGCCGGTGACTGCTGTCAGAGGGCTTGGGGACTCATTAGTCCACATCGGTTTGCTGTGTGTCTACCTTAGTGTTTTTGTTTTTCCTTTGAGTTTTTTATACCGGCATAATCTGAGTCGGTTGAAGCCATAATGTCCCTTTACCACTAAACATGTCCCTTCTGGTTTCGTTTCGGTGTCCCATGAATATCATTCATTCCACCTGGGAGGAGTAAGCTCTTCTCACTTAGCACATCTGATAATAGAAAGCAGACGACTTTCAGATGGTCTGATGACTGTCTTACATTTTGTCATGGTTATTGCCATTCCCAAGGCCGCCACAGCCAACAGATACAAAAGCAGCAAATATTCGAAGTGCTGGTAAACAGAGGCTCAGGATCCCAAAGGAAATAACCTGAAATTGGAGAAAATAAATTACAAAACCCGCAGGTAGTGGAAAAAAGACAGTTGCTCGTGCATATGGAATGAGTCTTTCTAAGGCTGTCTTGAGGTAAGTGAAAAATGCCAGGCGTATCCACCAGCGGCCCTGAAGCTTGGGGAAAGGGACGGAACATGGGGACACTGGGAGTGTGCGGTGGGGGGTTAGGCACCATTATGGGCACAGCAGACCCGAAGTGAAAAGAAGGCAGGAATCTGAGCACTTGAAGACAGAGGGCCAGGAGATGCCACTGCTGAAATTCCTGCTGCAAACGATAGTGGGCTCTTGTGCCCAAGGTAAGGATCTGGGTTTGCAAATATCAAAACTGACTTGAGCTAATTTATGCAGAATTTCCTGATGACTATCAAGTAGCTGGAGGACCAGGGAGGCTTTGCAGCCCTGTGACCCACCGCCCCAGGCATGTAGCCTGAAGGCCTGGTGGTGTGGCCCTGCACCTCCCGGATGCTGGCCCTGGGGCTGGAACCACACCCTTACTTCTTTAAGGCACTTGCCTGGACTTCCTGCCCTGGGTGAGGCTTGGGATGCCGTGAAGTGAAGTTGGATCCGACCTGGTGTTCTCACTGCTTGGGACAGGTGAGCCTTTGGGCCTTCTGGAGTGGAAGAAGGCAGGTTCCCCCGCGTGAGTCATCCCTGGCAGACAAGCACGAGAGCCACGCAGCTGAGACAAAGCATGTGTGTCCCTGCCACTCAGGGGGTCAAGGGCCCTTCCAATGCACCAACCTCAGTAAAAGGGGCCAGCGGCTCATGTGGGCACAGTGAGGCCCGGCTTTGGGGGTGGGGATGGGGTTGTCTCAAAACCTTTTTGGAGAAAGATGCCCAGGAGAACATATATCTACAGCGAAGATAAGAGATTCCAGATTTTAAAACTCAAAAAGACCAGCTTTGGGGGAGCCACATCCAAGAACTGAAAGTTTAAACTACTTTTCTGATCTTTTTGGACTCAAAAACCTCAAAAACAAAAACCAAAACCAAAAACCCAGCAGAGTTATAAACAGCCTGTTCTCAAGTAGAAAACGTCAGCTACTCTTGCCGGCTGCCTTAGGATGGAGGTTATGACAAACGGGCCTTAAACACAAGGAAGCAGCGAGTCTGAGGCGTTAAGTAACTTGTCCAAAGTCCCATAGCTAATAAGTGCTAGAACTGGGATTTGGAACTAAGTTTATCCGCATGAAAACCTTTCTACCTTTTACAGTTCTGACACTACACCACCCCCCCATTTCCAAAGACAATCAAATTTCAAGAATCTAGGCTTAAAAAAAAAAAGTCCACATGCATTATTCGCCCCCTAAGAGACTGGATTTTTGTGGGCATGCCTCACCTGGTTCCGCTCCTCAAGCCCACGTTGCCTGTCCCTCACTGGGTTATGAGTTTTCTTCAAGAACCACCCTGCCTGATTCTTAGTGGCCCTGAACTGCTCATAGGTGGCACCTTCCATGGGCTGGTCTGTTTGCTCCATGTTCCCGGCCCGTGGGCAGCCCCTGAGCGCCTTTCCCTGGAGCATCAGTACCCATTTGCCTCTGGAACTTTTGGAGAAACTTCAAGAGTTTCCTAGTTAGGGCTTGGTGCCTTCCCAAGGGTCAGAACGTGTGGTTGCAGCTCAGAGGCTGTGAGG